GTAAATGAGGAAAACCAATATATCATAGTATAACAAATATACAAAACGAGAGATAGAGAAAATGCTAGGATATTAATTTTAAAATTTAAATAAAGTAATGAACAAAATTATTATCGATATATTTAAATATTTTAAAAAATATTAACAATATAATTTTTTTAAAAAAATTAAAGAATTAGGGGACAAAAAAATATATATCGATGATATACAAAATGGTAATGGACAGGAATATTTAGCCATTAATAGACACATTTATATCAATGTAATAATACAAAATATTCGAAAATATAATAAATTAAAATAAGAGATACAAAAGTTAATTAATCACTATGTAATTAGTTTTCTTTAATTTCATTTGTTTTTGGGTGCACTGCATTAAGATATAAAATTCTTAATTTGGTTATAAAAATATGATATAATATGCTAAACAAAGTCGGACCATCGTTGGACGTAACTAATATTTTTCTAATGTTATCCGCACATCATGTGAGTCAGGGGCGGCCCGACGAGTTTTGTGGCCTAAAGCCAAATTTTATAAGGGGCCTTAACTTCTTTTTTTTAAGAAAATATTATTTATTTATTTATTTGAAGTCTATTTTTCTAGCGTTTCTTAGATACAAAGTATTAATAATTTTCTTATAATCAATAACTTCTAATAAGTCTTTCTTAATTGACAATATAGCTAATCCATTCAACCTTTATTGAGACATTGTTGATCTTAGGTGAGATTTTATCGATTTTATTTTGATTTTTTTTGTTGCTAAAACGACGGAAACAAGAGTTATTGAAATTATTCCATAAGTATTATAGACATTGAAAAAAGAATCAAATTTTTTTATTTTGACGGAGTGTATCAATTAAATTGTTATCTTCTAATTGTACTATTTTTCTTAATATTTTTGATTGTGAAAATAAATCTAAACCATCAATATCGGATTGATTATTATGCTTTCAGGAACATTCAACATTAAGGCAATATTTTTTCAAATTTTCATCATCTAGTGATCTTAACTTTTACCGCTAAATAGAAAACCAAAAATATTTTTATATGCTTCGAATTGTTCAATCTATTTTGAAGTGAAAAAAATAGCCTTGTCTACTATGTATAAAGTAATCAACTCCAAAGTACTCTTCGAAAGATTTTGAGATTTTATCATCAACATTCTCATCAAATTGTTATTTCCTATATATCATACATTTCATACGAAATTCGGGTTCGATATTCATTTCATGTGCAATTTTTTTGGCAGAAATCATTGCAGTTGCAAATCCCCCATCTCTATACTTGTTAATGAAAGAAATCAAACTTTTTCATATCGCAAAACCTTTTTTATAACTTATACACAACCTATTAGATGTAACAAAAAATGGAGCCCCCAAAAATATGGGGCCTAAAGCAGTTGCTTTACTTGCTTTATGGAAGGGCCATCCCCTAGCGTGAGTTTTAGGGCATCTCCAAGGGTGCACTATTTTTTGCACCAAATCTAAATTCGGTGTAAAATTTGGTATTTTTTTGCTCCAATAGAACACCAAATTTGCACCATTATAGTACATAAATAGTGTTACACAAAATTTGGTGCCACACTATTCATCACCACCAAATTTGATTTATTATTATTTTATTCATTGTTTTATTTTTTTGGACTTTTAATTTATCATATATTGTGTATATAATTAATTTTTATATTAAGATCTTTATAATTTTAATATTTATTTAAATATCTTTTATCAATGATTTCACTTCTAGTTGATTTATCCTTTAAAATAATTTTGTAATAAATGATTATATAAGTGGTGAATGTGAATTATATATAATGAATATGGAAAAAAGAAAAAAGATAGAATTAGTTTGAAGGAAATAAAAAATAAAATTTAAATAGAAGATAATAATATAATATAGAAGAGAGAGAAGAAATATTCTTTTTTGGTATAAAAAATGGTGTAATTGTTGGAGTAAATTTGGTGTTACACCATTTTGGTGTGAAATTTGGTGTTAGGATTGGAGATGGTCTTAATACTAGTAATTTTTAATAAAGGAACAGCTGTGTAAATATCCCATTTCTTTTTCTTTTGTGCCTCCTTCCTTTTTTTTTTCTCTCTCTCAAATTAAGCATACGTTGCGTGGTCAACTTATAGCTAACATGTTTTCGCATGTTTCGCGGAGCTAAATAATGCTGAAAGAGATGAGGTTCCTAGGACTAAAATTAAAGCTAATTAACATCTAGTTGGAACCACGGCATTCATTGTACAAATTACTTATTTTGGACGCATTCATTATTTCATGTGCAGAATCGAAATGTACGAATTCCTGATCTTTAGATTTTAATTCAAGCTGTTCCTTGAATATTTTTTTTTAATTACTTATTATGCATTTTCAAGTAAATGTATATACTAAAAAGAAAGAAATCAAAATTGCTTTAGCAAGTTAAAAGGCTCTCCCAAAAGCTTATTATTGTATTGATTATAGGATTTAGCTTATATGCACTAGTAATACTGCAAAGTTTCTTTACTCTATAAATGTTTAAATCTGTTATAGTAGGTGGCCTATTTTAAAAGTTGAAGGAGAGACTTGGAGCAACGGTCAAGTTGTCCTCGTGTGACCTATAGATGGCGGGTTCTAGCTATGGAATCAACTACTTATGCTCGCGTCAGAGTAGGCTGCCTGGATTATATATGCGACTCTTTCCCAGACCTTTCGTGAACGCGGGATACTTTGTGCACCGAGCTGCCCTTTTTTCTATTTTAAAAGTTATAAATTCATCTTGTTATTGACAGTTACTTATTTTTTATGTAAGCTCTTTACACAATCAAAATGTATAAAAGTTAAACACTTATTATATGGTCTCTTGTGCAACAAATTAGAGTGGTCATCTCAAGAAAAGCCGTGGATTGTACTAATGAACCATCTCGGCTAAGGTGTACGATTGAAACTGACAAATCACATCAACTCAGAAAATTCCAGTCAAACTGAGAAAAAGAATTCGATTATGGTTTGGTATTGGATTAAAAAAAACCTGACTATAATTAGTTTGGTTTGGTTTGGTTTTAACTAAAATAAGTCAAACCGAAACAAAACCAACCTGACATTATAAGTATAGAAGTTTGAAATATATTTAATACATAAAATATTTATTTTAGTGTAGTTTATAAATATCCTTAAACTTTTTCATAGTATTATCTTTTAACATATATTTCAAGCTTGGACTTATAATTTTTGGATGCTCAAATAAATTTTATAGTCCATAAATGTTAGTAACTCAAATAAATCCTAAACTAAAAAATCAAATCAATACTAATACTAATAAAAGACATTCAATTCAATTGTACTATGAATGAAAATAGTGTTGGATATCTGTTTTTTAGTTTTTCCATGGTTTAGATAAAATGCATCTTATTTTTCTTTTAGTATTTAGTCATGTAAATAATAGTACTTATTAGTCGTACTTATTTTAGCAACTTAGTAATTTTAAATATGTTTGTTTTTGTTATGGCATATTAATAATATTTTATGCGATTTTATTATCTTATTGTTGAATATTTTAGTATAATGCTATGACCCATCTCATATTATGCATGTTATTTTATTTAAAAACACATTATATATTTCTGTCTTACTAGGATTAAAGAAATATTTGGATATGAAAAAAAACCCCGAAGAAACAAAAAACTCGAGATTAAAAAGCCCGACTTTTATTGGTTTGGTCTGATCTTTAGATTTAATAATCCGACACAATTGGTTTGGTTTGGTAATTGGAAAATTCGAACCAACCCGACCTATGTACACCCTTAATTTCAGCCACGGTTTCGTTTAATGCTGAAATATTTTTCTCTATGCAGGGCCACTTTCCATAAGTATAAACAATTGTATATGTCGTGCTTGACTTGAAGAATTATTTTTTAATGGTTTTGACTTTTGTATACAATTAGTTGCTAGGCAGTCTTTTAATCGACGGCCCGAAGATGCTTAATTGGATGCTTTCCCTATTCCTTGGCTGTTTGATTTGAAATGAAAAAATTAAATAAATAACCATATGTGTATACAAATTCGGTTTGAATTCCTCATATTTCATTTTCTTTCATCACCTATAGTTTTTAAATGCGGCTAGAAGAATATATCATTACAACCTGATAATTAAGCCTGGAGTTTTATGTCATATCATCTATTTTATATGAAGCTGAAAAATATAATTTAGTCCCAGCGTCTCATTCTGTTGGCATCTGTTAATACCCTTGATTTCTATTATATTTGTCAATCCTTTGACATTAATAGGTCGGTTATATTATATTTGGTTAATGCTATTTTTGTGGAGAATTGTAGAGTGAATTATGAGTGCGTAACCAAAACTATCAGAATGGAAATTGACTTAATTAATTGAATTACTTGCCAAAAAGGACAGAAGCTGGCAAAGTATTATACCAACCCCGTTTTAATAAAATAAGGAAAGCAAATTCTTATCAAACTTTTTTAATTCCTTTAATTGTTCAACAATTTTACGTGTTGTTCGGCTTATTAGCTGGCAAAGAGTTGCAAATCAAACCCGTCAATAGAATGAAGGACAAATACTCAAGCCTGTACCTGCTAATTTTTCACCTAACCATGTATACCATGGAAATCTTACACTTTTGACCTTTCTTCGTCTCAAATTAATTGTTTGTTTATTTTCTTAACAAAAAGGATATTTTTTTTTTCTTCCGTTCCAGTTTTTATGAATCCATTTCCTTTTTGATCCGTTTCAAAACAATATAATGAACCCTTTCTAAATTTGAAAACAATTTAACTTAAACTTATAATTCTACCCTGAATGAGATGTTTTATAACCACACAAATACTCTGGTCCTTTTTAATTTGTTTAGGACCACAAAATTCCAAAAGTCTCCATTTTTTCTTTGACTCCGTACTGAGTCAAACATGTTCACATAAATTGGAACGGAGGGAGTACATGTCAGCTGTATCTATAACAAATATGATATGACTAATGTATGTTTCCAAGAACTATGCATGAATCTTCCTATTTATAATGCAGACTTATGTTTTCTCTCAAACCTTGGTTGTTAAAAGTCTACCTTCATCTCATCTTTCATTGTCATTTATCCCCTTCAGACAAAAATTCATGTCTTTCTAGCAATCTCACTACTTTAGCTGCTTGAAGGTCCATTTTCAACTCCATAATTGAATCAGCGGAACACATACGAGGTAGGCTTATGTATATTTTGTCGAAGTTACGAGGGTGTTTGGCTAAGCTTATAAGCTGGTCAAACTGGCTTATAAGCACTTTTTGGCTTATCTACGCGTTTGGTAAAATTAAAAGTGCTTATAAGTTAAGTGCTTATAAGCCAAAAGTAAGCCAAAAGCCATAAGTTGGTCTCCCCCAACTTATCGAATTTCAGCTTATAAGCACTTTAAGTTTGACCAAAATATTTACTATTTATCCCTAAAATACTTCTTTTTAAAACAAAACTCTTCGTATAACCAGTTCTTCAGCTGCATATTATTAATTTCAGCACTTTTATCCAAACACGTAACTGCTTATTTTTTAAATCAGTTTCAGCACTTAAAAGTGTTTATCAGCACATAATCCTTATCAGCTACTCTGAATCAGCTAAGCCAAACATGCTCTATATCTCTCTCTTTGGACCTATGGTAATCAATAGATTTTGCAAAGTTTATCAAATGTATATTTTTTGTCATACAACAGATTGATAAGATTACTGTCTCTTGCAGATCCAGCAGTATAGCCATGGAAACAAGTGAAGTGAATGATTCAGCAAGGGATTATTCTACTGAAGTACTTCCACCCCTTATCAAATTCATTTCAGATGAAATGGATGATTTTGATATCATAATAGACAATGATCATATTAATAATCATCTTGATCAAACTGGATCTAATTTTGTGAACTCGTCTATCGGGGTAAGTCTTTGTCCTTATTAATCCTCGAAAAGTAGTATGCATTCTTCAGTTGTTCTTGATTCTATCCACATCTCGATGGACTTGATGAATCATTGTATCTTGCGATTGTTTGTAATCCAGCTGTTTTTGTTCATGGATGTTTGAAGGACCACTCAATTAAGGTTGTCTGGTTCTACTTCTGGCAGCCTCAACTTACTGTTATGAGCCAACATGTGGATTATTAAAACAAAAACAACTTCGTTGCCTTTAAGGAACCATTAATTGTTCACTCAAGGCATACAGCTTTTAATCCTGATTAAGCGAGGATAAACTTGCCTGTGAAAGCTTATAAGTCAAAGAAAAAAATAAACCAGAATGAATGTTATGGCTAGGTAACATTAGTCATTAGTCAGTTTAATTTCAGCCATTAGTCAGAAGTTTTCTGCTGGCCCTAGTATGCATATGTTGTTGACATATTGTCTATTATATTCTGATCTTGAAAAACTTTACATCTCTGATCTTTGAATCATTGATATTACTCTGTAGTACAGTGTGAATTTGACTTGCCTAATACTCTATATTGATCTTTGTAGGGAACTGAAGCCGCTGCGGAACGACAGCATGAAAGGAAGCATTCAGTTTCCATTAGCATGCCACCCTCTCCTTTGGCAGCTCACTCATTAAGCCAAAAAGGAGTTGTCTTCAGTGATAATAATGAGATTATATTCAGCAATATTGACACTTCCAATTTTGCTGCTACATCAACTGATGCTGGTACCAGACATAATAAAAAGGTCAAGTTTTATTCTCAGCCAATGCCAAGAAATACTGCATTTCCTGAGGCTCCTGCTGTTGGGAAACTTCCCAGCTATTCAGACTTTCCATCAATGAATACCAAGAGTATTAAGCAAAGGGATCCAAGGTTCAACTCTTTCAAAACATGGTCTGGTAAACTTGAGAGACAATTAACAAATTTGCGTGGAAAAAACCTGGAAGCACAGCAAGAGTCGAATACTGCAGAGAGAGAAAATATCCCTGTACATCGATACTTTGATGCGTTGGAGGGACCAGAATTGGACACTCTACGGGTAAGCTTTTCTCCTTGGTTTCGCCCACCCATTTTAGTGGTCTGTTGAAATTTGCTTCAGATGAAGATATCTTTAAAGATTACTAGCATTTGAGATTATGATTGTATCAATGCATTTGCAGTTTTGATCTTTCAAGTAACCATTGCTAAAGAAAATGAAAAAAATGAAAAGTATTTTGAGGGTCTGTTACATGCCGTATTGATTTTGTGCCCGTTTGTACATGACGTTCATCACTTGGTTGAATGAATGCAACCTGCATTGGTATTAAAGGATGAACTTATCCTCGGCTATAAGTAGTTTATTTTGTGATGGTATGTTTCTTCATCTAAAGTAAGAGCAAATCCATGTATCTGTATGTCTTTTTGGTTTTAAAGCCAAGAAGTTACGTGCCTAAAATTGAACTTGAGTTCATATTGCTTAAAAGATACTAATTTTGTTGAACTGATGCTTTTGAGGTACACATTTCTGCACTTCTACACATGAAATGTCTCTTCTTTCGTTCCCTTTTAGTTCGAAAACACACATATTCTGAATCGAGATGGTAATGTTGGTAACACATGTTTCTTTCCTGTACAGGCTTCTGAGCAAAGTATTCTTCCAGAGGACAAGAAATGGCCATTTCTTCTTCGATTCCCTGTTTCTTCCTTTGGTATCTGTCTTGGTGTTAGTAGCCAAGCTATTATGTGGAAAGCTCTAGCCACTTCTCCCTCAACAAAATTCCTCCACGTAAGCTTGAACATGAATCTTGTCCTTTGGTGCATATCTGTGGCCCTTATGGCCATTGTTGCATTCATTTATGCTCTGAAAATCATTTTCTACTTCGAAGCAGTTCGTCGGGAATACTATCACCCGATACGTGTTAACTTCTTCTTTGCTCCTTGGATTGCACTTCTATTCTTAGCACTAGGAGTTCCACCATCAGTTACTAAAAACCTGCACACATCTCTGTGGTACATTCTTATGACCCCAATCTTTTGCTTAGAGCTGAAGATCTATGGACAATGGATGTCTGGAGGACAGCGAAGGCTCTCAAAGGTTGCCAGTCCCGTAAATCATCTCTCTGTCGTTGGAAATTTCGTCGGTGCTTTGCTTGGTGCATCCATGGGACTAAAAGAAGGCCCAATATTCTTCTATGCTGTTGGATTGGCTCATTATTTGGTCCTATTTGTAACTCTTTACCAAAGACTTCCAACAAATGAGACGCTGCCAAAGGAGCTTCACCCTGTCTTCTTTCTATTTGTTGCTGCACCTAGTGTTGCTTCTATGGCATGGGCAGCAATCCAAGGGTCCTTTGATTATGGATCTCGGATTTCTTATTTCATTGCCCTCTTCCTTTATTTCTCACTGGTAAGTCATTATGCTAGGCAGATTTAGCATTCAAATATATCATTAACCTTTGACTAATCCTTTATTCTTGTCCCTTTACAGGCTGTTCGTATTAATTTCTTCCGAGGCTTCAGGTATGAGTAATTTGCATTTGTCCTGAAAAGCTCTCTTATTCCTCTTCACCTTTGGCTTAATGTGAAATGCTTGTCTCATTTGTTAACTTCAGGTTTTCATTGGCGTGGTGGGCGTATACTTTCCCCATGACCGGAGCTGCTATTGCCACTGTCAGGTACTCAACCGCCGTTACCAACACAGCGACAAAGTGTCTAGCAGTCATACTTTGCTCTCTTGCTACACTCACAGTAACAGCACTGCTTGTGACAACTATCATCTATGCCTTTGTTCTGAGAGATCTCTTCCCAAATGATATTTCAATTGCAATTAGTGAAAGAAGGCATAAAACAACTGGATTATGGCATCTTAGAAGATTTGGCAGCTCAGATGCCAATGATATTGAGCAATATCTTAAATTTGTAGATTCTTCAGATGGAAAAGACATTGAGGCTTCTCTTACACATCCAAACTCTAGTACCATAGAGTTGAGCAATGAAGTCCGTCAACAATGATGAAACTTTTCGTAAAATTCTTTTAAAGTTTTAATCAAGTGAGGAACACCAAGATTTTGGCTGTTCCTATGAACTTGACGGAGAAAAATAAAAGTGAAGGTTCTTGTAATGACGTACAAACACAAATTTATTCGAGGGCGTTTCCAAATTTCAACTTTTTCCATGTGTAAACCGGAGAGATGAGTGTTCCTAATGCTTTTGAAGGTCCTTTTATCTGTCAATTTAGTACATAGCTGTCTTGTGAATTTTGATGGTTTGCAGGAAATAGTTACATGACAATTTCGTCGTTGAGTTTACTAGGTGCAAATTCTGGGACATAATCATTTAATTTTGTGCCAAACCAAACTTTATTTTCATGTAATGAAAGATTATTGCGCATGTATATTAGTTTGCTTTACTTGCAGGCGAAGGTTACTTGCCATGTTGGCTCATTCGAACAAATAAGTACCTTGTGTTAGAATGAAAAATTCTAGGGAAAAGGGTCAAAATTGTTCCTCTACTATTATTTATTGGTTGCTTGTGCCACCCGTTATATTTTTCGGCCATTCTCGTCCCTACCGTTACCAAAGTTTGCAAAATTACCCCTAACCCTAACATCCCTCCACTGTGGCAGCTGACCTCTCTAATATTTTGTCCCTGTCAGCAGCCAAGTCAGCAGGTCCCACAAAGAAAATGCCATGTCAGCACCTCCACCTCCAATACCTTTCTCCCCCTTCGATTTCTTCTTCCATCGGCAGCTTCACCACCCAAAAGCCTCAATATTTCACCACAAAATATTCAAAACCAGAATTTAATCAACAATTTTCAGCCTCAACATTATATTCAAGTAACATAAAATGAACTTCAACAACTTCTGAAGAACATGATAGACCCATTAGGTATTCTTCAAGCTTTTCCAAATCCTTTGTATGGTAATTTTAGTCTCCTTTCAGATACATCTACCAAATCGGTACTAACTAGCTACCATTAATACCACCAATAATTGACAGACCCAACTTCTTCACATAAACCCCCCACCGTTTCTCCTCTATTGTTTTCACATTCTCATCCACAGTAAAACAACGAAGAACCAAATTCTTTACAAGAGAAGAAACATTTACAAACCCCCATCGTGTATTCTCAAGCTTTCTTTACAAATTCTTCAATGTTGCCATGAGAGCAATTAAGCAAGATATGAAGAGAAGAAATATTTTTTATGCCAAAAAATGGGTGTTTGCCAACAAGATCTGACATGGCTGCATTGAATAATGCTACGGTAGTAATACTTTGATGGCTTTTGATCTTATAGGCAATTTTTGTCTGTGTGAGTTTATTTGAATTTCTTGCCGGAGAACAGGTTGTTGTCCATGGAGGTTAGTTCTGCCCGCTGAAAATTTTCCGGCGAAATGCCATGGTTTCCGACGATTTTGGTATGAGGTGAGGGAGAAAATATGAGAGAAAGGGTGGAGAGGTGAGGAGTGAGGGGTCGTTTATGTTAGGGTTTTAATTTGGTGGGGTCGATGAGATGGCAGCTGACTTGGCTGCTGACATGGACAAAATATTAGAGGGGTCAGCTGTCACTGTGGAGGGACGTTAGGGTTAGGGGTAATTTTGCAAACTTTATTAACGGTAGGGACGAGAATGGCCGAAAAGTATAACGGGTGGCACAAGCAACCAATAAATAATAGTAGAGGGCCAATTTTGACCCTTTGCCCAAAATTCTATTGGGTCTAACTTTTTGTGTTCTCTTACAATATATTTATACATGAGTTTCTTATTTAGGCAGATCACCAAATGTTCCATCCATTTTTTTTTGTAAACCTGTTTGATTATACACGAAGTTTAAGAAAGAAATAAATATTCTTAGAACTTGTGATCTTAAATATGCCATGAGATTTATGTGGCTACTATATTAGGTCATTAAAAATGAAATAAGTTTAAAGTTAAATTGGTTCTAAATAAAAAAAATTATTATTCTTTTGGAAACAAAATAAAAAGAAATAGTATCACGTACACTCGAACAACAGAGTTATGTGAAGATATAACATCACCATAAAAAAGAGAGAGAGAGAGAGAGAGAGAGAGAGAGAGAGAGATTATTGTGGTGGTTAAATTACAGCGGTTGAAAAGAACCGCTGCACAATAGAACACAATACGGTGGCGTTCCAGATGCCATTAGTGAACATGCTAAGACGACCGTTCTTTACTAAATTATGGTGGGTCGAACCGCCGCTAATTCCCTCAGTTTTTAATAATTCTTTTCCCTCGACATATTAGAACTCCTGCTATTAAAATATCAAAAACACATCTATTTTTTCTCTCTCTCTCTCTCTCAAAGAAAAAAAAAAGATGATTCCCCCAATATCACGACCCAAACTTGAGGGGCATGACTGGCACCCGGGCCATACCTACCGAGCACCAACGTACATTTTACCTAACCTTATTTATTATCTATAAGGCCCGTCAAGATCAACATAAATGGTAGACATGAATCACGAACAACCAACAATGACATACATAACATGGGCTGACAAGGCTGTCATGAAGCTATATATAAGGTAGCTGACAAGCTGCCATGAAAGACTATACAACAAAAATTAGCTGACTAGGCAATCCAAACTATACATGAGTCGACACTTGTCTATGAGCCTCTAAAGGAACATAGGTGCTGCAACATTGCCGGAACAGGGCCCTGATATACTCATAATTCCTATAACAAAAATGCATACCAAGACCACGGCAAGTCCGGAGAAGAGATCTCGCCAATAACCGCTCAACTGGGCAGCCTACTGTGGTGGGGGAGCTGCGTCTACCTGTCTATCAGGACCTGCAGCACGACATGCAGCATCCACAAATAAAAGGGACGTCAGTATGAATAAAGTACCGAGTATGTAAGGCAGGAATGCATAAATAAGAACAACATTGTAAGCAGGGATAGAGAACATACAACTTCTAACATCTGAGTGCCTCTGAGGGTGACTGACATGAAATGCATGATACATATATATATATATATATATATATATATATATATATATATATATATATATATATATATATATACACACACACACACACACACACACACACACACACACTTCTAAAAACATACGCCTCTATGGGCATCATTATCATCATATCATGCCTGGTCGTAATAGGTTCGGTAAAAACTTACCTGGCCATCATAAGGCTCGGTAGAATCATACCTGGCCACGTGGAGCTCATCAAATCCACGTGGAGTATAGGGAGAGGAGGAATAACTTGCATATGGTGTTCATCGACTTAGAAAAGGCGTACGATAAAGTTTCGAGGGAGATTTTGTGGAGATGTTTGGAGGTTACCGGTGTACCGGTTGCCTACATTAGGGTGATTAAGGACATGTATGATGGAGCAAAGACCCGTGTGAGGATGGTGGGTGGGGACTCGGACCATTTTCCGGTTATGATGGGGCTGCATCAGAGTTCGACACTCAACCCTTTTTTGGTTTCCCTGGCGATGGACGTACTGACACGCCACATCCAGGAGATGTATCGTGGTGCATGCTATTTACAGATTATATTATTTTAATTGACGAGACGCGAGGCAGTGTGAACGCGCAGTTGGAGGTATGGAGGCAGACCCTGGAGTCTAAAGGTTTCAAGTTGAGAAGGACCAAGACGAAATACTTGGAGTGTAAGTTCAGTAGTGAGACTCAAGGAGGGGAAGGGGAGGTGATGCAGGACTCGCAGGTCACCCTTGGGAGAGATAGTTTTATGTACCTTGGATATATTATTCAGGGGGGGTGGGAGATCGATGAAGATGTTGTCGTGCCCCCTTTTTCCTCGCAGAAGTACGAGTTTCGACATTCATTGGGAGCAACTCGTTTCCTTTTGGGAATTAGGTATTTGAATCGCCACCTAACAGATTAAGGTGCGTTAGGGCACCTAGAGCAATTAACTCATATAACTAGTTTGCATTACCAGAGATTAGGGTAAGGGCTCGTAATAACCTTGAGGGAAAGGTGTTAGGCACCCCTCGCGGTCCACAATGGTGGGTCCCGGCCGAACTCAATTATGTGAATTAGTCATTTAACAAATAGGCAGTCTAAGCACATATTTGCAAATAAAGGAAGTTTAGGCAGTCTAAGCACACATATGTGAATAAAGGAATTTAGGCTTTCTAAGCACACATATGCAAATATATGAAGTTTAGGCAGTCTAAGCACACATATGTGAATAAAGGAAGTTTAACGGATAGGTAGTCTAAGCACACATATGTGGTTAAAGGAAGGGAAGTCCTAAGTTGGTTAGCCTGTAGGATCACATCTGTACAATACCCGGTAAGCCTTCCTCAAATAGAGGGGTTACACGTGGCATTAGCGCACAAGTCATCATATCCTTTTACTACCCATTACCCTCCCCTTAGCGGTTATATAAGCGAGTTTAATTAACGAACTCTAAGCGTGCTTTACCCATCCCTTCGTTGTGGTCCTGGAGGTGTTTATGACCTCTAAATTTAGGCAGTACTAGACCCTCCTAAGGTGTTTAAAAGGTAAAATCTAAGCGACAACAAATAACATATAGGACTGTCTAATAGGGAAGCAATTGAGGGGCTCATATTTACCTCCACACATAAACAAATAAGTAGCGCGTCTCAAATAGCAGATTTTAAAGAATTTCAGAAGGTCCTAGAACAGGATATCTAGGTGAGCATCACAAACATAGAATATGCAGCATTGTTTTAAAGCGAAGTGATATAACCTGATCAGTTTGCCTACTGATTTTAGAACCTGTTAAACCTGGACAACTTTACAAACACAACACCATTTCGCAGTTTTTTATGAAACCTTTAATTACCTAAGGCTTGCCTAGGTGTGAATCTGTTATACCCCCATAAACATGCTGTCTAAAAGAGAATTCTGGGGATTAGTCAAATAGCATGAGTTTATTAAATCCTATAGGCATGCTGGTCTAGGTGCTGAATGCTACAAAAAGCTGATTTCATGCATATTTATACTAGGACATGATATCTATGTGTTTGGGTTGTCTTTAAACCTCTTTATAGATAATTATTCATTTAAGCGACATAGATATGGTTTAAAGAAAATTCAAACAGAGTGCTAAGGCAGGATTTCTAATGCACAGAGAGAGATGGTCATTTTATCAAGCATGATTACAACGGTGACTTTAACAACAGATTTCCGGGTGATTATGACTTGTGCAAAAACATAGTTTTCGTGATAATACAATGATGAGCCTATAACATGTTTTCTAATAGGCAAAATCAGTAAACATGATTATCCTAAGGCACGATATCTAATGCACAAATTTATGGCATGATTTTCAATACAAACAGGCATAGCAAACCTAGAGGCGTGATATCTATTGCATAATATAAACCTAAAGCATGATTTCTATTACAAATCAACATATATATATATATATATATACA